CTGTCCACTCGTGCTTGCTGGGGGCTCTTGGACTTGGTCAGGCAGCGCCTGCCCTGGGGGAGAGGCTCAGGCCATCCCTTCACCCACTCTCTCGTGGTGACCTCATCTTCTTGGTGATGGTCTCTGCCTCTCTGCAGCTGTCACTTGAAAAGGAAAATAAAATGTCCCAGTGGCTTTGAAATGTGATGACTGTGGGGCCCGCCCCTCCCTGTCCAGTGTTGGTGCTGCTGGCTCCCACAGTGACAGGGACCCATGATGCAGATCCCAGGAGACCAGGGAGGCTCCCTTTTCACCTGTGGGGAGGACCTGCTTGGCGGCCCCAGCTGGCCCTGGAAGGGTAGGAAGGTCACACCCTGCAACACCTCAGGGCCCTAGGTGGCCTCTGCTTTGGGCCCGAAGTCTTCAAACTCTAGCCCTGGGGGATGAGGGTGGTCACACCTGGCCCCTGGGGGCTAGTGTCAGGTCTGTTGGCATTCCTTATCTGAGCTTAGGCCTTCTGCAGTGCAGAAGTGGGGATGGTCCCTACTGCCTGCTTTGGGGATTCCTGTGGACGCCAGTCATCTCCTCTGCTCCAAGTGACAGCCTCCCAGCAGTGGGGACGGGTGACTGCAGAATTTGCCCTATGCCCAATGAGAGGAGATGGGGAGGTGGCTGCAGGTGGAGGTGTCTGTCCTGTGGGGATCTCACTGGAGGACGGAGAGCCACCTCAATTGAGCGCCCTGGTGCTGAGGGGCCGAGGTGGAGACCCAGCGCTGAGTGTCTCGCTGCAACGCAGCAGTGGCCTGCCTGAGTCGGGACACAGGCTGCAAGGCTCTACCCCGCCTATCACTGGGCACCAGGGATGGAGCCATCTGTCTGTCCATACCTGTTCTCTTACACCTGGGGAAAGAGGCTCCTGGCTGGGCTAAGGCTGGGCTAAGGCCCAATGGGAGGTGGTGGGCCTGGCATTGCTGGGGCTGAGCACCAGAGCTGGGCCTTGCTCCTGGGTCACTGCAATAGGCCTGGTAGGAAGGCCAGAGCGTGGCTCTCATCTCCCTACAGAAAGAGTCAGAGGCCGGGCCATGGGGCAGGGATGGTCCTGGGTATCCCTGTTCCCACTGTTTGTGTCAGATCAGATCAGTGGCCCCTGGCTGTCCTGTGGCCACCTGGAAATCTGGATCTGACATTGTAGCTGTTCCTACTCCTGGGCCTTTGCACTTGCTGTCTTCCCCCGTGGCCAGCAGGTCAGCTGCCCCTGTACCTTCAGCTCCTGACCCCAGCCTCAGCTGCTGGGATGCTCCCTCCATTTGCTGTGAGTATATCTGTGTATCCCCGGGTTACTACTCTTTGAAGTTCCCCTGCTCCCTTATTGGGGCACCTGTGGGGTGTTTGGACATGGGCAGGTGGGGCTTTGTCCACCCAGGATCCTTGCCTTGTTCACAGGACACCCCTGTGCCTGGCCTGTAGTAGAGGCTCTGTCCCGCATAGCCACCTGGCCTGTAGTTCATGGTGTCCTGGTCTGTGAGTCCCTGTTGCACTCTGGAACTTCGTGACCTTGGATGTGTGGCTCTGTCTCTGAGCCAGGCGGGAGGACGAATCAGGTTGGCTTGGGGTGGTCAGGGTGGGCTGTTTGGAGAAGGAGGAGGCTCTTGCCTGACCTTCATGGGGCAGAATTGAGAGAGAGACCAGGTCTGGGCCTCGTTTTGGGGCTGTAGAGGGCTGGTACGTAGTGGGAGCAGCCTAGGAGAGGGCCTTGGAAAGGTTCCCCGCCAGCTGCATTGTGGGGAAAGAGTTTGCCAAGCTCCGGGTGGGGAGGGGGAGGAGCCACAGACAGAGTTTCCTCCAGCTGTGTGGGGGCCCAGCCAGGTCCTTGCATTCAGGAAAGGGGGGCCCCTGGGATCCTGGAATGTCTGGACTGAGTGAGGCTATGTGGGAGCCTGCAGGGAGGAGGTGAAGAGGGTGGCAGGTGTAGATAGGAGTGTGTAGAGCAAGGAGAGCCAGCATGCATGGGGGCGAGTGGTGAAGTGTGTGTGAACACGTTTGAGTGTGAGTCAACCCAGCTGGGGGACCCCGGGTGTGTGTGTGTGTGTGAGAGAGAGAGAGACAGACAGACAGACAGAAATGCATGCCAGGTGCCCCCTGTAGTCCAAGAGCATCCCTCCTGTCCGCCTGGTGCCCTGGCCCCTGTTTATAAAGACTTGGGCCTGAATTCGAGTCACATTGTCGTCCCTTCCTCAGTGGGTGACCTGGCTGTGCTCTGGGCCTCAGCTTCCTGGTCTGGGGAGTGGGGTTGGCTCCCAGGTAGTGAGGCCTCACTGAGGTGAGGCATGAAGCTGGGAACACAGGGTGTAGGACGCTGAGGCCACTCTCTTCCTCCCTCCCTCCTCTACCCTGAGCTGCCCAGCTCCCTGTCCCCTGTCCCCAGCCAGACTGAGCTCCACCTCTGTGGTTCACTTCCATCCAGCTCCTCGCCCACCCTGTGGATTCTAAGGCAAAATGTCCTTCCTCCTGTCCACTTTTGCCCTGGCTGCCCCATTTCCCCCACCCCCTTTGTCTTACGGCTCTGCTGGATGGACGTGGTGGCTTCCTGTGTGACCACTGGCTCTGCCCCACCCCTTCTCTGCCCCTTCTCCATAAGTGAACGGGTCCTGGTCCTTCCTCCCTGTGGCTCTCCTGAGGGTCTCCCTGCCTCGGGAGTGACATCCCTGTCTACGGGGCCCTGTGTGGCCAGCAGCCCTGTGCCTTCTCCCCCTCTGTCCCCTGCTCCAACTGCCTTAACCTGCCCTCCCGTGGGAGTCCCGTTCTGTGTGCTGGCCAGCTTGGCAGAAGCCTCTCCTAAAAGCCTGCTGAATTCCCTAAATTGGGATCTCATCGTGGACCTGCGTGTGGCTCTGTCACTGCAGGGAGGTGTGTATTTCCCCACTAGACAGCCGCTGGTCTTGACCCTCTGTGCTCTGGGCCTGGAGTTGGAACTGGCTGGAGTAGGGAAGTGGCCCAGAGAGGGTAAGGTTGATTCCCAGCTGTCCTCGGCGGGGGTGTGGGGGGGAAGCAGGGGCCCCTCTGTTCCCTGGGGACAGTGCCTGCCCACAGGGCCTGGCTCTGCTGGAGCCCATTACAGGACAGGCTGCAGGTGGCTGGCCGCCGAGGCTTCCGGGAGCCGTGCCCGGTCCTCCTGGCTCCAGCCTTCCCGCAGGGCCTGTCTCTGGAGCTGCCGCAGATGGCAGGACCCGGTGCCAAGCCCGGGGACATCATACTGAAGAAAGCTTAGAAAAGAGAAGACAGGGCAGGAAAGAAGCGACTGGATGGTTTCTCTGTGAGCTGCCTGCAGCTGCCCTTTCTAGCCCTGGGGTCTGAAAGGGCCTGGCCAGGACAGGCAGCAGGTACAGAGGGTGAGCTCTTGCTGAGCTGTCCATCCTGGGGGATCGTGGTGACGAGAGCTTGCAGTGCGCACATACTGACTCCATACGCACATCATGGGTTACTGTGAGCTCGGCATTCCTACCATGGCACCTGTTTTAGAGATGGGGAAACTGAGGCTCAGAGAGGTGGAGAAAGGGGTCCTTAAAGTCATCTTGAGGGGTTAGTGAGCGGGCAGGTCTGGTGGATGACCTCAGGGATTAGCTCGTTTTCTGGGTGGGAAGACAGCGCCGAGAGCACTGGGGTCTTGCCCAGGGGCACGACTTTCAGAGGAGAGGTGACACCCAGCTGCGTCTTTGGACTTCCTGTCCAGAGTCTCTCCCCCTCACTGTTGGCACTCCTCCCTGTCACATGTCACACTGTCCACCCTCCACCTGTTCACCCAGGGAGGGCGCCTGAACTTGTGGGTATACATCACAGGGTGAATATAGAGGGAAAGCCCCACAACTTTTGTGGGAATTTTAACCTTGGGCCACTCCACCAACCCTTTTTTTTGTGATGGGTTTTTCAAATAGGGTCTCATGAACTATTTGCCCAGGCTGGCATCGACCTGCGATCCTCTCTGCCTCCTGAGTAGCTAGGATTACAGGTGTGAGCCACCAGCGCCCAGCTCTCATTGTTTTTGGTGTTGATGGGCTGCCCTGTGGGATTTTCCCCACGGGGCATTTGTCTTGGTGCGGAGCCCTATGCTGCCGTGTGCGGTGCCCCTGTGGCTTATCCGTGTGCCTGCGATGGGAAGATGGCTGGTTTCCAACAGGATCTTTGTGGAGACAGGACTTCAGTCCCTAAGAACAGAATTTTCTGGTCATGTCGCAAATGTTCAACTCTGTAAGAAGCTGCCAACCTATTACATTTGTCTTTTTTGGTGGCACTGGGCTTTGAACTTAGGGCCTCGTGCTTGCTAGACGGGCGCTGTACCGCTTGAGCCACTCTGCCAGCCCAAAAGCTGGGGAGCTGTTCTCCCTGGTGAGGGTTCTGGTTGCTCCACGTTCTTTCAGCAATTGATGGCGTTGGTTCTGTCCCTTTCGGCGGGTGGGCTGTGGTGTCCTCTGGTTTTAGTTTGCACATCCCTGCTGATAAACGGTACCACCAAGTGTCTTTCCAGCTGCGGATGGGCCATTTGCGTGTCCTTGTGGAGGGTCCTTCAGATCTTCTGTGCAGTTTTCTATTGAGGCGACTGACACTTATTTGTCTGCGGCCGCCCTCTGTGTCCCCTGGATACTGGTTGTCACTGTGCTGCCTTCCCCTATGACTCCTGAATGAAGGTGGTTTGGCAGGCATCCTCCTGGGGCCCTAGGGGAAGTTAATGGGGCAGCTCTGTGGTGGCCTGTGACGTGGTCCCTTATCAGGACATGGGCTGCCTTTGAAACCGCATGGTCTGGGGTTGGCAGCTCAGCTCTGTCACTTCCTAGCCTGGGGGGGAGGGGGGAGTTGGGCGTGAGACTTGGAGTCTCTGAACTCAGTCCCTCTCCTCCCCGTCGAGGGGTCATTGCGCCTCCCTTGGCCTAAGGTAGCAGACACTGTCATTTCCACTGCTCCGAGTGGTTCTGCTGAGCCCCGTGGAAGCTGCTATGTTTGGTAACAGCCCCTGTGTTCTCCTGCAGGTCTCTCCGGGACTTTGAGGACACGGCTCCCTGGTGGCAGTTTCTGGTAGGTTCACCTCTGTCCCCACTGGCTGGGACCTTCTTGTGGGAGATGGCTCTGGGTCGGGTTCTGCTGAGCACTGTGCTTGGGGCTTTTGTGTGGCCTTGTGGGGTGGTGCCTGGCCCCTCAGAGCTGATTGGGGCAGGGAGCAGCTGGGGGAGTTGGTGGGTCCCCTGGGGAGGGGACATTCCCTGAGGGGCTGCCGTGGGGAGAGTTCATCCTCCCTTGGTTGAGTGAGTATTTCTGAAGCACCTACTGTGTGCTGGGTCCCGCTCTGGGTCCCGTGGTGGGTCTGAAGATGGAGCTGTGAGAAGGTGGACGAGCCCCACCGTTGCCAACACAGACTGTACTGCGGTCGGTACACCCTCTGCGTGCTGTGCTCATCGCTGACGTGCGCTGGCGTGAAGAATGAGTAGAGGGGTTTATGGGCTGTGTGGCTGGGCTGGGGGTGCAGTTCAAGTGGGGGCTCAGGATGAGCTGCCCAGGGAAGATAAAGACCCGAGGAGGGGCGGAGGGAGCAGGTAGGCATCTGGGGAAGTGTGCAAAGGCCCCGAGGCAGTTTGCAGTGGCTTCACTTGGGTGGCTGTCTGGGAGAGGCCTTTTTCATTTGTCCTGAGCCTTTGGGGATCCCCACAGGTAGAAGTGGGGACCAGCCCTTCAGGCCCTCAGTTTCCCTGAGTGCCCTGGGCACAGTAGCAGTGGCTTATCTTGGAGCAGGAAGTAGCAGGTACCACTAATTGGGGGTGCCGGGTGCTTATAGCTCAGCATGGTTGGCCTCCTGGCCTTGGCAGTTGGAAATAAGGGCCTTGTTGGGTGCTTCTCCTCTCTCCTCCCCCTCCTCCTGCTCCCCATCCATCCTCGTCAGGCTTAATGGGGCGCCTTCCTCCCTCCACCAGAGCTGAGAGCTGAGTTATCTGCCTGTCATGCCAGTGGCCCACCCGAGGGCGACAAAAGGGCTTTTTGTCTGCAAGCACTTAGCTTCCTCCACTGGGGCATCCATCACGACTGAGGGAGGAGGGAGGCAGGCAGAGGGAGGAGGGGTGGGATCTCCTCCCCCGCCCCCTCCCCCGCAAGGGCCCTTCTGGGGGACCTAAGCGACTCCTGTCCAAGATAAGGTCTGTCTGAGGCTGTGGGACAGACAGGACAATGCCTGGAGCGTCTGTACCGGAGGGAGGGCCGCGGGGACCCTGAGTTCCTCATTCCCTGGAGCAGTTCTGGGGACCCTTAGGGGACTCTCCTGCCCTGGGGTGATCTGGTGAGGGACGGGAACAGATGTCCTAGATAATAATAGCAACAGCCACACAAACACTTGACACACACATGCACACAGACATGTCATCACACCCCTTCTGAGCCCCTCGTGGCATTGCCTCATTTAACCCTCGGAGTGACCCCTGCCTACAAGGACACCTAGACTATTCGACATGTCCCTAGGGGGCACAGCCCCACTCGCCCTGGGCTGTTGGAGGGCCTTTGGTGTGGGCTCGGCCCCAGGCTGGGTTCTGCCCTTGTGTATGAATGGGGTGGAGAAAGGTAGGGAAGGGGACTCGGAGCCTCCCCAGGCAAGGGGTGGGAGAGAAGGCCGGGGAGCTGGTGTGTGGGGTGTGGTGTAGAAATTGGATGTAGGTGCGGGGCAGCTGGGCTGGAATCCCATGTCCTAAGGTGGGCGGTGACCAGAGCTGTGTGGTGGGTTCCAGGGACTTGGCCAGTGGGGTCATTCTGGGCTCCATGTTCCACCTGGACAGTGGGAAAGGCCTGGGTGGGGCGGGGAGCCCATGGGAGGACCCCTTCCTTTGCCTGCAGGACTGTTGTGCTCTGCTTCCTTCCAGCTCAGGCTGCTCAGCCCCTGCCTTCCTCCCCCTCCCCCTCCTCCCCACAGGGCCACCCTCAAATGACAGCAATTAATGGTGCCTGGGATGGTGGAGGCTGACAGCTGAGCGTGCTGCCCCGCTAATCGGGCCCGGGGGACGCCCCTTCTGTGTGGCTCTGTGCAGGCCGGTCCTCCTGGTACTGTAGAGCACTGGCCGCCTGTGTAGGCCTAGGGTGGGCACAGAGTCCCCAGCCCTGCAGCGCTCCCATCCTTCTGTTACCCTTGATCTTTGATCACGGGGTTCAGATGACCCGTCCTGCACCGTGAGTGTGTGACAGTTGGCGCCTGGTGTCTTACTCCAGCAGACGTCCTGACCTGGACCAGCAGCTGTCCTGAGTCAGCCTAGGGCAGCACCTTCCCAGGGTCTCCATCCCTCCCCCACTCCTCCTGCGAGGGACGGGAAACCTCGCTTGTCCTGTGCTGGGTAACAAGGGCCACACACACACCCCACCCACCACAGACCTGGAGCCCAAGTCCTGTCTAAGCGTGGTCAGTGTCATGGGATTCCTAGCTAGTCCTGTCCACACTGTCCTCTTCACTGCAGCAGCAACAATGAGGCCCCTGCTGTATGCCAGGACCTGCAGCTGGTACTTGCAGCTCGGTTCATTTTAGTCAACTTACGACGTTTCTTTTATAAATGGACAAGAACAGTGACTTGCTGTAAGTGACCCAGCAAGGATGGGACACATCTGTGTCTCAACCCAGGCCTGTCTTGCTCAGGGCTCATAAATCGGGGACTTTGGGGAAACTCGAGGGACAGTTAAAGGAACCACAGACCTGACTTAGAAGTTGGGGAGACAGGGTCAGCAGTGCTCTCATATAAAAAAATCAACTTACTACTTAAATCCACCTTATTGACATGTAATTAGCCTGCCTTAAGATGCACAGTCCTAGAAGTCCCGATGAAGGTGAGCATCCCACCCAGTACCTGCTGTCATAGATGTTCTGGAAGCTTCTAGGATTTCCTAATAAAGCTTTCATCCTGTGGAGGACTGACCGTCCTGCTGTGTGAGCATGTGACTGTTTGTTGGTTTGCTGTTAGGAATAAAACGCCTCTCGATTATTCTTGTGTGAGACTTTGTGGGATGTGTTTCCTTTTCTCCTGTGCAAATGTCCAGGAGTGGGTGACTGGGTAGGTGACCGTGTGCAGAGAAGCCACCTGACTGTTTTCTAAAAGCTGCAGTCCCCCCAGCAGTGCGTGACGAGTCCAGTGGTCCCACATCCAAGCTAGGACTTGATGCTGTCAGGTCAGCCATTTGGCTGGGTTCCACTTCCACTTTTGGGTTCCAAAAGTCGGCTGCCTTTTGGGTAAAGGCTGTGGTTTTGCTTTGCAATTGTGTGTCTGGCCCCCCCCCCCCCCCCCCGTGGAATTCTATCAGGAAAGACAGACAACATCCGCCAGTGTTAATTCTCTCTTTTCTTCATAGTCTTAGGTGACTCCCTGCTTTTTTCTTGTCTTATTGCGTGGGCTGAGATGGCCAGGTGGGTGTTGGATAGCAGCTTTGGGTTTTTCACATTAGCCAGCTGTGTGTGTGTGTGTGTTCCTAACATTCCCAGTTTACAGACAAGGAAACTGAGGCCCAGAGAGGACAGGTGCTTTCAGCACGAGGAGAGTAGGAATTTATGGCTCCCTACCCTCCTCCGTGCCAGGAAGTACAGCTCCATTTGTTGTGTGGTCTGGAGGGTCACGCCAAGAACTGACAGCTGGACAGGACCAGGGCCACACCCACGTCTCCTCTCCTGTGGGTTTCCTGTGCTGGAGAGGCTAGGGTGTGGACAAGGTCCCGTGCCTTCCAGCTCCAGCAGTGTCCCTTGGCACCCTGCTCTGTTAAGTGAGCTGCGGGCTGTGACTCTGCCTGTCTCCATCCCGTTGGTTTGGGCAAAGTCACACAGTCCTTCCGGGGAGCTATTTTGGGGAGAAGCAGGTGCAGGAGGCCCAGGAGTTGGGGGAGGGGGTGGAGAGGACCTCCTCCTCCTTGCCTGAGGGGTGTCAGCCAAGATGACTTTTCGGGGAAGGAGGCCCGTAAATTAAATAAGCAATCCCGTAAATGAATAAGTAATGAAGTTAGTGGGGTGCCTAATTCCTGCTTGCCTCACATGCATAATTATGGATGGATGCCTGCCCGATAATTGTCCTGGCTTTTTAATCCTCGGCCCCGACAATGTGGCCGCCGTCTGACTGTGATCCCTGCTCCCCCCGCTGGAGGGGGCTGCTGTGCTTGGGGCTCTGAGCCTTGGTGGGGCTGGGGTCCCTGGAGGGCTGTGTGCCTGGTCGGACTTGACCTCCTACTACAGTGAGGTTTATAAGCCTGCTCGAGGTTGGTGCTGTCTCTGTGATGGCAGCAGTAGGGTTCCAGTGGTGAGCATGGTGTGATTTCGGACATTGCTTATTTTTTTATTTGGTGGCACTGGGATTTGAACTCAGGGTTTCGTGCTTGCTCAGCTGTCGCTATGGCTTGAGCTGTGCCTCCAGTCCGTTTTGATCTGGTTATTTGGAGATAGGGTCTCGCTTTCTTCCCGACTGGCTTGGGCCTCCGTCCCACTCCCTCTGTCGCTGGGATGAGGGGCGTGTGCCACCATGCCCAGCCATTCATTGGTCGACATGGGGTCTCGTGAACTTTTGTGTGCAGGCTAGTCTCCAACTGCAATCCTCACGATTTCAGCCCTCCCAGTAGGAGGCCACACCTGCTCATCCCAGGTGCCCCCTTTGGCTCCACATTCTGACGTGTGTGAGGCTGGGCCCTGTGCTGTCCAGTCGCTTTGTGGCCATATGGGCCTGTAGTGCTGCGGCTGGGTGGGCGTGGGGCGTGCACACTCCCGTGTGCTGACTTCAGACCACTAGGGTTGGGACTCCCCCTGCTCCTTGCCATAAGTCCAGATGGAAAGGGGGTTGAGCACAGAGCCACCTGAAGGATGGTGTGGTGCAGGCCACAATCCAGGGAGGCTGCCTGGAAGAGCTGGGATAAACACATTTGGATGGCACCTGACCTACATTGGAGGGACTGCAAGCTGCGGAGTGCAGAGGCGCGCCTGCCACACCCACTTCCTGCAGAAGCTAATGAGCCTGACCTCTTCTCGGCCTGCTGCTGTGAGTGCCCTTAGCCCTGTCCTTGTCACCGTGATGGATTTCTCATGG